ATATATGTATGGCATATGATATATATGGTATATATATATGGCATATATATATGGTGTGTATATATATATATGGTATATATATATGGTGGGGCACACCCCCACCATATATACACACACACACACACACACACACACCATATATATGGTGTATATATATACATACATACACAATGGAGCATTACTCAGCAATCAAAAAGAATGAAATCTTGCCATTTGCAACTACGTGGATGGAACTAGAGGGTATTATTCTAAGCGAAATTAGTCCGTCAGAGAAAGACAAGTATCATATGACTTCACTCATATGAGGAATTTTAGATACAAAGCAGATGGACATAAGGGAAGGGAAGCAAAAATAATATAAAAACAGGGAGGGGGACAAAATATAAAAGACCCTTAAGCATAGAGAACAAACAGAGCATTGCTGGTGGGGTTTTAGGAGGGCGGATGGGCTCAACGGGTAAGGGGCATTTAGGAATCTACTCCTGAAATCATTGTTGCACTATATGCTAACTTGGATGTAAATTTTTAAATTAATTAATTAATTAATTTTTAAAAATCTGGGCAGAAGATCTGAATAGGCATTTTTCCAAAGAACATATACAGTTACATGAAACCAACAGATACATGAAAAGATGCTCACTATCACTAATCATGAGGGAAATGAAAATCAAAACCACAATGAGATATTAACTCATACCTATCAGAATGGCTCTTATCAAAGGACAAGAGATAACAAATGTTGGCAAGGATGTGGAGAAAAGGGAACTCTTGTGCACTATTGGTGGGAATGTAAACTGGCACAGCTACTATGGAAAACAGTATGGTGATTCCCCCCAAAATTAAAAATATAACTACCATATGATACAATTTCATTTCTAGGTATATAGCCAAAGGAAGCAAAATCACTCTCTCAAAAAATGCCTGCACCCCCCACCCCGTTTATTGCAGCATTATTCACAATAGCCAGGACACGGAAACAATGTGTCGATTGGCAGATAGATGAATAAAGAAAATGTGGTATACATGTACAATGGAATAGTATTCAGTCATATAAAGAATGAAATTTTGCCATTTGCAACAATGTGGCTGGATCTCAAGGCATTATGCTAAGTGAAATAAGCCAAACAAAGACAAATACCATACAATCTGACTTATATGTGGGAATTAAAAACAAACATACAATTAAAAACAAACAATTGAAAACAATTAAACAATTAAAAACAATTAAACAGTTGTTAAATTGTTTAATTAAAGAATTAAAACAATTAAACAATTAAAAAAACAATTAAAAACAAACAAACATACAAAAAACCCAGTTCACAGATACAGAAAACAGACTGGTGGTTGCCAGAGGCAAGGGTTTTGGGGATGGGGGCAATGAGTGAAGGTGGTCAAAAGGTCAAAGTTCCAGTTATGAGATAATGTACAGAACAGTAACTATAGTTAATGCTACTGTTGCATATTTGGAAGTTTGATAAGAGTAGTAGATCTTAAAAGCTCTCATCACACACACACACACACACACACACACACACACAAATTTTGTATCTATATATGATGACCGATACAACTAGACTTATTATGGTGATCATTTCACAATACAGTATATACAAATATCATTATATTGTACACCTAAAACGAACATGATGTTGAATATCAATTTTTTCCCAACTTTAAAATAAGATTGTGACTGGAAATGCTTTATTTCCTTTTTAAAATTGTAGTGTAATACTTTATGATTCAAAGGCCTAGTCCTGGGTTTATTTCTATACTTGGTTTTAAAGGCTGTTGTTGCAGAAGAAGATGTTGTTTATAGATTCAAATTAGGAAAATTGTATTAATCGCTGCACTTACTAATTCACGATACTAGTATTTCAGTTCTATCTACCACTTACGAGGTTCTTTTCCACCTTCTTGACACCAAAAGGTATTGTGTTTTGTGGGTTTCTTTTTTAAACAAATGAACCCTTAATTTGAAAGACTGTTTTTTAAGAGTGCAGATGTGGGAGTTCTTACTAATGACACTTAACATCACTTTTGGCCACAAATCCTATTATGATGCAATATTCCCAGACAGGTTCAAAATGCTCTCTTTGTACAGCTGCTACTGCTATGGGAAGGCTGCTCTTTTCTCACACTCATTTAAAAACATCACCCATCCCTTGAAGGTATCACATTAAAACATACTCATTGGTAGCCCATTACTAAACCACTGATCCCAGGAAGGCGGGCATAGTTGGAACAATTACGTTTTCTTCTCTTATTTGCCCGTTTGTCAAGGAAAAAATGTGTAGTTCATCTTTAAGTCCAACAATTCTTTTAATTTAACCCCAGAACCTCTCTGTGGTACAAAAGATTTTCATGGCCAACTCCTTTTCCCCACCATTTCATTTGCAAAATATCATAAAGTTCCTATTGTTTATTTAAAAAAATCTTTTTTTAATGTTTATTTGTTTTTCAGAGAGAGAGATAGACACAGAGCATGAGCAGGGGAGGGCAGAGAGAGAGGGAGACACAGAATCTGAAACAGGCTTCAGGTTCTGAGCTGTCAGCACAAAGCCTGACACGGGGCTTGAACTCACAGACCGTGAGATCATGAACTGAGCGGAAGTCAGATGCTTAACCAACTGAGCCACCCAGGCGCCCCTAAAGTTCCTATTACTTAAAGGTCTCGTCTTAATAATTTTTTTTAATGTTTATTTTGAGAGAGAGAGAGAGAGAGACAAGCACAAGCAGGGAGGGGCAGAGAGAGAGGGAGACACAGAATCCAAAGCAGGCTCCAGGCTCTGAGCTGTCAGCAAAGAGCCCAACACGGGGCTTAAACTCACAAACTGCAAGATCATGACCTGAGCCAAAGTCAGACACACAACCGACTGAGCCACCCAGGTGCCCCTCAAGGTCTTGTCTTTATAGAAGTAGCCATGTTGATGACATCCTGTAACACCTAAACTGGAGTGTGAGGTGAGTCGTCACTAGCAAGGACAAGTGAGGTCACTGAGGCCCAGGCCACCTCTGCAACCTCTCCCTGGGGAGTCATGTGACTGTGGCTGTCTGACAAGGGGCCTGGAGAGGTGTCAAGGGCAATCCAGATAGCGAAAATCAGTAAAACAATGTTTATTTCTAAATTTTTCATTTATTTCTAAATCGATAGTAGAGCTGCTTATGCTTTCTTCCTGCATCCTAGTGCTCGTCAAGTGCTCCTGGGGTGTGTGCTCCCCCCCCAGTTTGGAGACCACTGCCCTGATGGTCTTCCAGGGTGCCAGTCTTGCCTGCCCCTCCCCCACCAATATAGATTTCTAAGCTTCTGAAAAGCAAGGGCTGGGCCTTATCCTTCTCGTCCCCCCAAGAATCTAGCACAGCTAGAGCAAAGCTCAGGTGCTCCACGCCCCTGGGTTAATGGAATGAGGGGCTCCACCAACAGCGAGCCCTCTCACGTGCAGATGCCCACCAACCCAGTGGGGGCAGGGCTCAGCTGAATAAAGCCTAGACCTCATTCTTGAGGCTTCTTCATGTACTGGGATGAGAGATGTGTAAATAAGGGATGGCATACAACCCAGGGCAGGACGAAGCAGGAGCTGCTGGAGAAATGCAAGAAAGGGCTGTGGGAGCATGAAGCTAAAGACCCTTGGTTCTGGCTCATTCTCCCTAGAAGGATTGAGAAATGCTTCCTGGAGGAGGTGGCATGCTATTCAGTGGTACCAGTTTTGGTACCATTGCAACAAGGGGAAAGGATGGAGAGAAGATGATGGAGTGGCCTTTAGGAGATGTCACGAAGAAGAACCTGTCAGGGGAACGTATAGATGGAAGAGGAAGAGCTCACCATGTCACTCGCAAGGACAAACTCAACAATCCACAGGTCACGGGAGGGGACAGTGAGGTAGCCCCCCCTACAGTGTTCCAGGTACATTGGGTTTCTAATAAAAAATTTTGCACAGTGAACAAAAAAGGTCTTTAGATGCAGACTCACAGATGTTCTTTCTGTTCCTCCCACATCCCTAACATGGTCCTGCCTTAAGGTCCTTGCAGTAGCTTCCGTCTGTCTTGAACACCCTCCCTCGAGGTCACACAGTTGGTCCCCTACGTCATTTGGGGCTCCACTCAGATGCTACCTCCTCAAGAGCTTCTCTGACCTGATCAAGGGAAGCCTGGCACTCTCCATCACAGCACCTTCTCCACTTTCGTCTCAACACTAAGCCTACCTGGATGTTTTCTTGTTTATTTTTAACGGGCATTTGTTAACTGTCTGTTCCCCTCACCCCAACACACACATACACACACACGAATATAAGGGTCAGGGCAGCTGACCCTTATAAATAAATATTGGGTAAAGACTCCACTCGTATCCTCTTAAAATACTTGTTACCGGGTAAGTTTAATAAAAGTCTCATTTGAGATGACCCCAAATCCACTTATGGGGGAAAATAGAAAGAGAAAGGGGGCAAGGGAGACAGAGAGGGATGAATATAAGAAAGTAGAAATTGCTCCAGTGAAATCTGATGTATGAGGTTTTAAGACAGCTTTAGTTTAACTTATTTGTATGTATTTATTTATTTTTTTAAGTTTATTTATTTTTGAGACAGAGAGAGACAGAGCATGAACGGGGGAGGGGCAGAGAGAGAGGGAGACACAGAATCAGAAGCAGGCTCCAGGCTCTGAGCCATCAGCCCAGAGCCCGACGCGGGCCTTGAACTCACGGACCGCGAGATCGTGACCTGAGCTGAAGTCGGACACTTAACCGACTGAGCCACCCAGGTGCCCCTATTTATTTATTTATTTATTTATTTATTATTTTTGAGAGAGAGAGAGAGAGTGCGCGCACGCGCGCGCGCAAGCGGGGGAGGGGCAGAGAGAGAGGGAGACACAGAATCCAAAGTAGGGTCCAGGCTCTGAGCTGTCAGCACAGAGCTCGACACAGGACTTGAACTCACGAACCGTGAGATCATGACCTGAGCTGAAGTCGGACACTTAACCGACTGAGCCACCCAGGTGCCCCAGTTTAACTTCTTTTTAAATCTAATCTGTTTCATTTCTCTTATTTCAGTTAAAAAAAAATCACTGTGTTCTACGCACCTCTCAAAGTTACCTTACGTAGGTTGTAGAAAAAAAGGTGGTAGAACTAATAGACACATTAAAATCCCTCGGGGATGTAACTTCAAGTATTTGATTTGTCCACAAATTTCTCTAGAAATGTTAAATGTCTTAAGTCCTTGTTTCCCAGTCTCAATCATCAGCTTCTCTGAGAGCATTTATTTAAAATGCAGATTTCCAGGCCCCTCCACAGAAGACTGAAACTCAAGAGCCTTGACGTGGTCTCCAATAATCTGCATGAGGCTTCACAGGTGGTCGTGTGGCTCACTGGGTTTGGGGGCAATACAATAACTTACCCTTTTCCCGATCGTCCGGAAAACCGTATCAATGCTTCGTTGTACCATTGGAAAGCTCATGGCTGGAAAACAGTGTTAAAAAAAAGTGAAAGATTTTGCTTCAAACCTGATTATAATGTTGGCATTTCGCTGGACTCTCTCCAAATGTGCCAGACACTTGGAGGTGTGTCGTGGGGGCCCTGGCCTGCCTGAGAGGAGGGCAGTTCACCCTCGGCACTTCCGGCATCAGTGCCTGGGCCGGGACACCCTGAATTTGGTGCCTTCAACAAAGCAGGTGGGTGCTTGAGCCCCTTCCCTGACTAGGAGAGGCCACTGCACACATCTTAACGTGGGGTCCCTGGGCCACTCGAGAATCTGCGCAAAGGCCTCAGAGGATCTGTGTACAGAATGGGCCGTGTTGCCCTTGCTCTGAAAAGGCCTCTGGGCATTCATGCTCAGCTCTGGATGGAGCCTGACACTGAAGAGGTGAAGCCTCAGCTTAGAGGCTGAGACTGCTTGCCATGGCATCATGGTGCCAGTGGGTCCCACTGCCCTGCAGGCATCATGTCCGGGGAGGGAGGCTCAAGCCCGGCCCTCTGCCAGCTCACCTGTGCTGCCAGGCTGGAGGCAGGCCGCGGACAGACAGCAGCGAGAGTGGCAGAGGAAGGCTGATGGTCAGGGAGCTGCAGTGGACCGCTCCAGTCATCATCTGGGTCTCTGAATTCAAGGGGCAGCTTCCTCGGGGTCCCCTCGCAAATCCTTCCGACGGACCTGAAATGTCAGGCCGAAGAATGGAGCAGAGTGAGTATGTGACCCAGCACATCTCTCGGGAAGAGAATCATAGATGACCATGACCACCAAACAGATGCCTGACCTTGCCACGTGCTCATCCTCATAACAGGCTGCAAGGTCGGTGTGCTTTGCCCCACCCATTTTACAACGGGAACCTGCAGGCAGGGCGACCTTAGGTAACACACCAAGGTCACGTGGCTATCTAGAGGGTCAGACTCCAAACAGCAAGCTGGCCCTCCGTGGGAAGGACATTAAGAACTGGGCTTTGCCCCGGCACGGTGCCAGGCTCCGAGCTGATGTCTCTTGGTCCCAGTCCAGACCCGTTCCACCACGAATAGAAGCCAGAAACAGAAGCTATGCTCTGCCCGGGACTTAAACAAGGCAAATGCAGACTGTGAGGGAGAGGACAGGTGTGAGCACAACCTCTCCCCACCCATGCAACCCTGGGGCACAGTTTCTGGCCTCAAGGCCGAGCTGATGGTGCTGAAGCTCAGTGGCCCAAACTGGGGACAGCCCAGAACCTTGGGGAAGAAAGCTGTTTCTGAGGCAGGTGCATAGGAGGTCCCAGAATCCACACACAGGCTGCAGTTCCCGTTCAGCCCCGCATTAGATGCTGTGCCCTGGGCTTCTCTGGGAGCTGGTCGCACCAGCCCAGATGGGGCGAAGGAGCTGCCCTCAGCCGGCATCAGAAGGCCACCCTGGAACCGTCTGCCTTGTGCCACAACAGCTTTGGATGTTGATATCCTGTCCCTCCTGCACGCCCCGGAAGGAGTGCCCTGCCAGCCACGCCACAGCTGTCCTTCCCTCCTTCTCAGAGTGTGGGCTGCGTCACAGGCATCCTAACACGAGGGTGTCGCTCACCTGTGCTCTGGGCATCTCCTTTGCCCCAAACTCAGTGTTACCTTATCATGGTTAGAGGATTATTTTTGTGCCGTTAAATCTGATTATGTCCGCACCGCAAAGGCATAAGCAATATATTTAATTCTACAGACTACGTTACTCTATTCAGCAGAAATCAACTGATACTTCTTTAGCAATTGAATTTAACATTCGGCATGTTACAGAATTCGGTTAAACATATGCTAGGTTACTCGGGGCACCTGGGTGGCTCCGTTGGTTAAGTGTCTGACTTCGGCTCAGGTCGTGATCTCACGGTTCGTGGGTTCTGAGCCCCACATCGGACTCTGGGCTGACAACTCTGAGCCTGGAGCCGGCTTCAGATTCTGTTTCTCTCTCTCCCTGCCCCTCCCCGACTCATGCTCTGTCTCTCAAAAATGAATGAACACTAAAAAAATTTTTTGAACACTAAAAAACATTTTTTTAAATATGATAGGTTACTGGTGCAAAATATGGGTATGTTTTAATGGCTAGCAGCAGTTTTTACACTATGCATCCTAAATTTGGTGTTCTAAAAATGAATTGTTAAATCTAGGAGGACCAACTGATAGCCCATTTCTCTCAACACTCAGAAGAATAATATTCAAGTCATTCTATCTCCCTCCTCTGAATATCCAGAGCACTTAGTAATTTCTCATGGTATGTATCACACCCTGCCCTCTATTCTTCCTTCTTATCAGGTTAATCTCCTGGAGAGGAGGGATAGGTCTTGCCATCTTGCACCTCTCCCTAAGCACACGATGTCTGTCACTCTGTTCTTCCTCTGCCTTTTACTAAACTTCTTGACTGACTTGAGCCCCCTCAGTGTTCCCAGGACACCTGGGCAAGCGACCCTCTTGGCATCTACAACATTATGTCCGTGTGTTGTCCCGGGAAGATCATGCGCACATCATGGCTAGGGAGTTTGTCTCATTCACCTTGGTGTGACTTTATGTTTAACATTTTGTAGAACTGCCAAACTGTTCTCAAAAGCCGCACCATTTTACACTTTCACCAGTGACATAGGAGGGTTCCAGTTTCTCCGCAACCTGATCAACACTTGTCATTATCTGTCTCTCTGATTCTAGCCATCCTACTGGTGTGGCATGATATATGATTGTGGTTTTGATTTGCATTTCCCTAATGAGTTACCGAGCATTTTCTCATGTGCTTATTGGCCACTTATATCTGTACACTATTTAATCAAATTATAAAATGTCAGAGCTTCACAGGAAAACTTCACGGATGACTTACCCAAGGTTGTGCGTGGCTAGACGCAATACAGGGTCTCCAATGTACTCCTGACTCCTAACCAGTGCTCTTTCTTGCCCACCTGGCCCTTCCGTCAGGTTGCCTCTGGATTCCGATGCCGTTGGGTGAGTGAAGATTCATCCGATAAATCACTGAATTCCTTAGGAGTCAGCATAAGCATGTGCTCCAGCACTTTTTGATTTTAGGCCATATCCTTTTGTCTTTGGTTGGTTGGTTTCATCTCTGAAGATGGTTTTGTCTGGGTGCTGACTTTGTACTTGAGCAGACGGTTTTTATAACTTGCAGCTACTTAAAGTTTGAAGCAACTGGTGGCTGAGCTCCAAGCGTTAAGTAAATTGAAGCAACATTCCTTGTCACTAGAGTGCAAGCGAGGATGGTTTTAGTTTTTAAATGTTTTTAAATGTTTACTTGTATTTTTGAGAGAGAGAGAGACAGAGTGCGAGCGGAGGAGGGGCAGAGAGAGACGGAGACACAGAATCTGAAACAGGCTCCAGATTCTGAGCTGTCAGCACAGAGCCCAGCGTACTCGAACTCACGAGCTGTGCGATCGTGATCGTGACCTGAGCCGAAGTCGGACACTTAACCGACTGAGCCACCCAGGCGCCCCTCGAGCATGGGTTTCAAGTTACAGAACAAATTTAAACCTATCCACTTAATATTGTCACTATGACTGTGAACACAAAAACAAAGTAGGAAAGTACTTAAAGTTAAGGAATGAGGTAGGGCTGGTAAGGACAGTCATGGCTTATGTACGAATGCTGGGGTTTGGGAGAATATAGAGATAAGCTGTCATACCTCCACCCTCCCAGGGACACAGCACATGGATCTGGAGATAAAGCTGAAGAGAGAAGCCATCCTTAGTGTGAATTCTCAGGAAGCCGTGAGGTCCTCAGACAATTAACCAAAATGAAAAGAGCTAGCCTGGGGGATGGCTGCTACCCAGTCAAAATAATCTCATTTATGCTGCAATAAATAAACACCACCAAAAATCTCCATGGCTTAGCAGAATGTAATTTTATTCCTTGCTCATGCAACATTCACCATGGGTTTCCATGTGGTGGCTCAGCGCTCCAGGCTACTTCTGTCTTGGGTGTAACTGTCTTAATATATTTCCATGTTTTCCATGGCAAGAGAAGAGCAATCTAGAAGACTTCAAACCACCTGATGATGCTTCACCTCGGAAGCAACAGGGCACACCATTTCTGCTCACAACCAATTGCTTAGAACTAGTTACATGGACTTGCCTAACAGTCTAGGGGAAAGGAGGTGTGATCCTCCTGTAAGCTTGGAAGGAAAGACAAACTGGATGATGCATTAGCTCTGCTAACATCTGCCACGGCTGGGGAAGGGGGTTCTTTTTGGTCTTCCTTGGGGGGGGGGTGCGGCTCTTGGAGGTATCTTTGTGTCTATTAGAGTATCCCTTTCTGGTAGGGGACAGAGGAGGAGTCTGGATTGTGGAGGGAGAGCTGAAGCAAAGGGGAGGTGCAAGCTGAAGATAATCAAATTAAGTGTGATAAGCCAAATCATCTGGATCCCAAGTACTTTCTGTCCCCCAAAACATGAAGAAAGTCTTTGTCTTAGCTAAGATTTGGGGAAATTCAACAAGTATGGCTTATCCTTGCCTAATTCTAGGTTTTATTTTGATTGAAATTGGAGCGATTTCCTTAGGGAAACAATTCAGTCAACATATAGATTCTCTTAGCAAAATAACCACTATTTTGTAAGCATTTACATCATTATAGCCCACATGGCATCTGGCAGTGCCTCACCATAAGAAGCCCTTAATTTGATGAGTTAGAGAAGGAATGAGAGGAATGAGAACTATCAACTATCTGTTGTACTCCTGAAGGCCAGCCTCTACCTTTCTGTAAGTCTCCAATATCCTCAGTCACAGGGCGAATAATGAGGCCCGGGGAGACTCCAAACCTAATTCAGTTACCGTAGAACTCAGGACAGGCCCAGAGGGCTTAGGATCATGTTTGCTCAAACTGCTCCCACCTTCGGATTATTGGATTTGCTATTCATTCCAAGAATTAATGACCTACCAAGTCGGGTCCTGTGCGAACACTTATTTGAACCATTTCTGAAGCATGTATCGACATGATTCTAACATCTATCACTTCTCCTCTTTTTCCGACATCACTGGTCCTTGCCAATTCATGGAGTATTGCAGCTGCCTGAGTGCCTGGGATGATACCATTGCAAGAAGATACTGTGGGCTTGGAAGACTGGGTTGAAAGAAGTACCATTTTAGACATACTGAGTTTAAAGAACATTCAGGAGGAGAGGTCCAATAGGCGGTTGGCAGTACAGACTGGGAGATGGGGGGAAGTCAGGGGTGGGGATACACACTTGGGAATTACCGGCATCGGGTGGTATTTGTAGCTGTGGGAATCAAGAAGAGAATTATGAAGAAAATGATAGGGGTGAAAGTATTTTGTATAATATTGGGTCTTTTTATAATGACCATTTTTAATGGGTTCAAGAAAGAACTTAGGGGGTGAGAAGAAGGAAAAAGAGCCAAGGGCATTCAGAGAAGGAGGAGATAAGAAGCAGGAGGAGAATCAAGTATTGGTGTATGGCGGCTAGAGAAGAGAGAGCTGTAAAGGTGGGGCTGGGATGGTGAAGTACTAAGTGCTTCAGGGCAGCAGGCGATACTGAAGGCTAAAGCCAGGGCTCTGCAGTTGGCGATGAGGAAGTTAGGGCTGCCTTGAGAGAGAGGTTTCATTAGGTAGACTGACCGCCATCTTCTCTTTATTCAGATCCCCATCGGGCTTAGCCCCACCTGCCCCCCCACCTCCATGCCCAGTGCCCTCTCCCCAGTCCAGCTCCCTAGACCAGCTCTCAACTGCTGGGCCCCACTGGGTTCATGGGAATCCTTTATCCCTTTAGCAATAAAATTCAACCTTGTCAAAGTATAGTCCGAAGACTCTTTCAGTGAGTGTGAGATCAAAACTATTTTTCATAATACCACCAAGACATTCTCTACCTTTGTCACTCCCTCACAGGTATACGGTTGAATTTTCCAGAAGCTACATGATGCGTCACATCACAACAGATGGAGTGCATAAGCTGGTATGAGACTCTGACTATATTCTATTAAGCCAGATGTTTGCAAAAATTTTAAGCAACGCCACTTACTAAATTGTTTTTGTTTTGAAAAATATAGCTATTTTTATAATGCTATTCATGTAATATGTAATGAGCTTATTATTTTTAAAATGAATTAACACTTAATTTCTCAATTTTAATTTCTCATATGGTTAAATAAATACCCCCCCCCACACACACACACACACAAATAAAAGCTTTTTGGAATCTGCAGTAATTTTAAGAGTAAACAATGGTCCAGAGGCACCGGGGTGGTTTAGTCAGTTAAGCATCAGACTCTGGATTTTGGCTGAGGTCACGATCTCAGGTGTTGGGTTCTGCACTGACAGTATGGAGCCTGCTTGGGATTCTCTTTTCCTCTCTCTCTGCCCCTCCCCTGCTTGCTCTCCCTCTTCCTCTCTCTCAAAATAAATAAATAAACATTAACAAAAAGAGTAAACAGTTTATCAAGTTCCTTACTTCTTCAAGCCTTCTCTTTGCACAAGGCAGCAGCAGAGGAAGGTCAGTCCCCTCCTTCCTTCATCGGCCGCCCGCCCCCGACCCAGCTCTTCTGCTGTGTGGACACCACAGCCTTTCCTGCCTCCCCAGTTTCTCACCAGCACCCCAGGTTCCCATCCTTGCACAGACTTTCTACAAAGTCATTGCCATTCCCCAAAATGTCTGTTGTCTCTGCATCTCCCTGGAGGCCCAGTGACGGAGAATTCTGGTGACCCTGCCCACTGGCTCCTGTAGCACTCACAGCAACCATCCCCCACCCCACCCCCCAACCTTGGCTGGACCTTCCCAGCAGCTGCAATCAACCCTGAAGGGACACTCTCACCCCTCACTTCCCTTCAAACCCTCGTTCCAAATACCTTCCAGTCTTCTTTCTAGGGACCTCTGGTGCGTCAAATTATGTGGCTTATACTCCTCAGTTTATGACACAGTGACATCATTTGCCCATGCAAGGCCACCCTTTCGTTTTTCCCTCTCATCTGCCACACCCCATGTCATTTCCCTCCCCCTCCCCCAGAAGCATCCATTCTAGTATATATTCTTTCCCTCCAATCTATCTGCCACTAATACATTTAGATTTTGCATGCCCTAGAAAAATATTGGGGGTTATTTTATGTATGGATTTCCAAACTCATATTAATGGTACTGAAACTAATGCTCCCGCAGGACAGTTTGGGCTTGCCCATGATACCATACATAAATCCAGGTCATTGCTTCTCACTGTTGCAGAGGACCCCCTGCAAGCTCAGGGCACCCTCCTTAGCCATTCCCCCACTGACAGACTCCCTTAGGTGGCCTCCACTTAGGCAAATTCTATGACGATCCATTTTCTCATTAAACAAAAAGACTGGTAGTGATCACACCTCCTTTTACAGAGTTATTGTGCCAGTTGGGACTTCAAAGTCTTGCCAACCACTGTGATTCCGGTTCTTTGCCATCGCACACGTTACAGTGAGGAACAGCCCCTTTGTACATGCTCCTACACCCACATCTTTCCTACCCCAGACATCAGGGTCCACAATGACTCAATAAATGGGGGCTGTTATTTTTATTTTATTACTACTGGGGCAGGGAAGGCCACAGAGCACAGGATCTGGGTCCAGAAGACATGTTTCCCAGCTGTGTTACCCCTGGCTTCCATTTCCTCATAAAAAAGTAGGAATATTCGGATCTCCCTCAGACTGCTATGGATGAAATGACAGGGTAGGAGCGAGTGCTTTGTGATGTAGGCAGCATGCTGGGTTAGCTCTTCTGTTGTTAGTGGGAATGGGGGCCAAAGGCAGGAAAGTCTAAGAAAGGATGAGAAGCGGAGGAAGGAAGAGAACAGGCCCTAGGAGGCAGCAGGAAGGCCCTGGAGATGTCCGTCTGTGCCAGTGACCTGGGCTCCAGGACCTCTGAGCAGCCGCCTTTGCTCCCTGGGAAGTGCTCCAGGTGTGGGAGTCAGAAGACCCAGCTATAGGCCCAACTCTGTGTGGTTACTGGCCGCGCGGTCATGGGCAAGCGCCCGATGGGCAGTGATCAACCCTGGCTGCACATGAGAACCCACGGGAGCATTAACAAGTACTGGCCCGAGGCCCCACACTTGACCAAGTGTATCGGGCTCCCCAGGAGTGGGACCTAGGCCTGGGAATAGGCAGCTTGTGTGATTCTTGGACTTTTTTTCCTGTCAGTTCATCCCGCTGACCACAAGATGGTGCCCTCTTTCTGGGAAATCTTTGATGATCGCCAAACAGGCAGCAATCTATTTGCTCTCAGGTCCTGAAAGAATATATTTGAATTTAACAATCTTCACAGCATCTCACTAAGCCAGAATTCCATGCCCTTGGGTCTA